TAGGCGAGTCCTGCTGTACGGTGCCAAGATTTGACCACTGCTGGAACAGGATAAAGATAATGTCCTAACATCGCTGTCTACGTCGCACTGCAGGAATCTGTTGGGGAAACCGGACTAGCAATGATGAGGTTAGGCGCAGAGTTTTAGGTGATCGCGGTCGTCCACTGAAACAAGTGGTCGACCTTCATAGACTACGCTGATGGTGACATGTGTGGCGCATGTCCCCAAACAGGTTGAAAACGGTATGCGATGTTTGCCTAGAGAGGCAACGGATGCGTAAAGGTCAAGTGCGGTCAAACTAAGCCCTGACCCAGAGACTTGTTCTCCCTGAATTGGGACCTTCGGATCAATGTAATCAGGGGTTAGATACACTGATTGATATGGCTGAGTGCTATAAACAGTGGCGTTCGTGTATCATCTCAATTTATTTGCAACGTTAGTCTACTGAAATTCTCCATTCCCCTTTGATTATACTCCAAATCTCCTGTCGACCTCCCACTGATTCATCTAACTGAGCAGTCAACATACAGCAATCAAAACAAGCGCACGAAAGAGCATGGTTAATGGTTGTAAAAAGTGACTCCGAAAAATTCTATTTATTGGAACAGTAAAAAAGAGTAGTGATGAACTCATTCTTGTCTTGGATTGAGCACTCACAATCACAGAATGCGCATGTGTGAGTGACTGGGTGCTATCATCGAGCAACCATTCCCCAACTAAGGAATATCATCGGTTAATTCATCAAGCATATACAGGATAACGAAAGTAGCTTAACAAAGATGACAAAATGGGCGCGACAATTCTGTAAGACATATATTCAAGAAAACAGGTATCTGACAATGTCAGGAAACCGGAAGTGGCGGTATTACTGGTTAAAGTCTATTTTAATTCAACAAAAATGTATTTTGAATAGATGGAACACGGAGGCAGCTGGATTCGAGAAGTGTCAGCGTTTCTGGATTGCCGGGAGTCCTAGGAGAAAGCACATTGGACAGATTGATTGCGTTATGGATACCCATAAACCCAGATTCCGATAGTTCACCGTGCTATCTGATGACGTTTCCCTGACAAACGGTAGATGGAGCATAGTGGTTTCTAAAGCAAATGGAATTTACGATTTTCACTAAGCAGGGCAGACATCGAGACTGGGGCGAATTTTAACCCCTTCTCTGTTCTAAAAGTGGAATTACTTTCGCTGTTCTATTAGCATCTAGCGGAACATAATGATAAGACAATAATAATAAAAATAATGGTGAAATCACATTGAAAGTTACCATTTTCAGTTATAGTTCCCTTAAAGATGAGAAAATTTCACGATAGTATAAATAACCCAACTTTGGTTATAGGCAGCTTCGCTATGGTCTGGGTGAATAACACGCAGTTAACTAATCCAAGTTCCACAGCAGTTTCTGTGGTCGTACAGTAGGTCCTGATGACTATGAGGTTCAGACCTCCTACTGATGATTACACCAAGGTGTGTAATAAAAATAATTTGACTTCTAATATTTCCCTTCGACTGACTTAATATCAAACAAATACAAGGTTTATTTCAAGGAGGCTGTGAAATATCAAACGCCGTCGCGGAATGATAATTTTCTACCATCGGGGTGGTTTAGATGAACTGTCACCAATTGTTTAACACACAATGTATTTGTCTCACTGTGTACTAAACACATACACACATGCACGAACGCACACGCACACAAAACAACGAACACATCTGGTCTACTTCTTGGATGAATCACCTTCGTTGACCTAATAATCTGCAGGTCACCAAATCGGAGTGCAACATCATCCGATTCTAAGGCAGTAGTCATGTCAAGACAACCGTCAAGAAACGAAACGATGTGGTCAGCCGCAAACCCACAATGTGAAATCATCAAGCACTGTCACGTGATCCAGGAACACCGCGCAAAATAGACAGTATAGTCAGTCAAAGACCCGCTAAAAAACCAACAGCAATTGTTCTACCACAAGAAGGTTCGTGGCACTCCCAAAGACATAAACCAGCGCAATTCGATCAATAAATAAAGAGGTGTGACGAGGCACAGGAAGTGGTATAGTCAGCTTTGCATCTGTTGTAATATAGTCCACCGGTGTTATGTTCAACCAGCCAACGAGGCTTACTCCTATGAACCCTAGGAAATGCAGCTGTTAAAAGCACGTGCGAGATGAGGACAAAAGTAAAAATCACAAATTTTGGATGAAATTCGTGTCACCAGTTCAATTATTACAAACATGAGTCTAGTTGTTGCTCACGTACCATTGCTCTCAAAGTGACCCAGACCAGGAGACTGGCTCACATAGGTCCTGTTAGGCTCCCTGGCTTGAGACCCCGAGATGATGGTCACCGATGGTTAGAGACACTGGGCGATATGACTGGGTGTCGCATACAGTAGCGCTCATGCATCTACTCATTATTCTTGTAACTTCGGTCCATGTAAATGCGCTACCTTCTGCTTGAATCTGTTCTTAACATTCTCATTATCATTCTGCTGTTTTACCCAAATGGGCAACCAAAACCGGCGCATGAAAGTGCATGGTTAATGGTTGTAAAAACTGAACTGAACTGAACTCTCAAAGTGGATCAGTAGTCCTCAGATATTGCACACATTTGCTTGAGTTCCTCAAACTGTGAACTGATTGGGAGGTAAACCTGGATGAATGGGCCATCATTATCCAACAAGTCACGCAAATCTGGTGTGTATCATGTGTACCATTGTTGATAGGATGGGCTGATCATTTTCACGTTTCACAGCAAACGCATTCGATCACATCTATTAAACTCATCCTCAGCCTTCTTCGAATGTGGTTCATTAGGGGAAACCGGGTGCTGGTTCTATACGAATAACCTATTAAGTTGTGTTCACGATGAGAAGAGTGGTGGGGTTTTGCAGACATTTAACAACTGAATGCAATTGAGCATAGTTCTTTTGTCATGTACACACTGTGAAACAAATGAGGAGTTGACGAAGCCTTCAGTGAGCTAATAACATGTCCTAATTATCAACATTCACTTCATTGGTCTCAGAAGAAAATGAAGCCTGAAAAACGTTTCCACGACAATCACCGCGGTTATCTGAAGAACTACAAGCGTTCAGAATAACTCCGTACATGACTCCGATCAGAAAAGACGATGGCACCGATGACAGTTTCCTGAAACACCTACTTCGTTCCAGTGCCCGTAAATCCGGCGGGTACTGTAATCAAAAGCGTTACGCATAGAACGATAAACAGATGTAGACTACAAGTCGACAAACATCAATTTTACAGGACCCATGAGTCCAAGACAACCGAGGAAGCACAAGAAAACAGACAGTTTTGCTTATCAATAGACCTGATAACACCGTTGACCATTGTCGAACTACAGTGTCCGACTTCTAGTCTAGCTTAATTAATGAGATAGCAGTGAGATTAATACGATTATGTACGTTAATTAGAAATATGGCATTCGACGGAGATCCCTCAATGGATATCGCACAACTGCACTAAATCAATGGAGAGAGGGCATAAGTGGTTCGAAATTCTGGATTCCGTAGCACTGCAGCGTAGACCAGAGTGGTGTCAATGTGTCGGTTAACGGAATTTTCAAACGAATACAACTCTTCGAGAAACTCCCTTGACTGCTTCGCATGAAGTTGAACGACTATTATAATGTTTACAAACTCGAATCTGTGTCCCCTTTGTTCTTCACGAATTAAAACAGAAAATAAGGGAGGATCATCTACCTCAGTAACGAACGGATGCCCATGTATTCGATTCGCCTGGCTTACGTAATGCTTACTAGAGTCCCCGAAGTCCTCAGTATGGTCGGGGGTGGGTGTCTAGGGTTGCGGCTGATTACCCTTCCCTTGCACCTGACGCAATGCTCTCATACAATCAAGCGTCTCAAATAGCCTCTACTGAGGAAGCCCTACTCACTGCCTTATTGTGGTGGAGGTGTTTTTACATTAAAGTAAGAGAACGAAAAGCCGACATCCGGGGCTATAACCGGGTTGGTGGACCACTGGCAGTTTACCTAGGGGAGCTGGCCAAAAACCCTGATTTCAAACCAACCAAGAGGCGTACGAACCATACCCACACCTTTCCGGTTGTCGCAACGGTCACCAGTTGAATTGGGCATCGAGGTACACTTGACATTTTGGAAGTTTGACCCCGTCGGAAAAGCGTATGATTTGACGAACTGGACACCGGCCCATAATGGATTGCGGTTTTCACATCGTCACGCTGCCTTGTGGGTCAGACTTTGGCTAGCCGAAGGCTCCGATTGTGGATTCCTTAAGAAAATTCACCTGCTCTGGTCTGGACAACCTGGAAGTATTCGGACCACAAGCAAATTATGGAACGTTTTTTTATAAAGATTATTGTACCGTGATTTGTTTGGCACACAATTTGACCTCAGACGGGTGTGAAATATGAAATAAAATAAATGAACTTATTGATTATCACAATCGTTGGAGTTGATTTTGTAGATCACGTTTGTGCAATTTTCCTCCTCCACTTGTTCCTCGGATCTCGATAGGATACCTGATGAAGTCTTTTTGTTGGCTTATAAGTGATTTCTATACGATAAGATCATAGTTTTCTGAATGTCATTTGTGTCATATTCCGCAAAAAAGCATATATAAGCTAATAGACGATCGTGGGCTTGGTTTCTAATGAAACGTTTGCAATTCAGTTTTCAAGTTCAGAAAATAAATGAATAAAAAGTTCTTGAAAGCTGAAGCTGATGATCAAAAAAGATATCGTTCCTCGATGTTTGAGTAATCCAGTTTTTGGGCTTCTCCACCGGGTTGGCCGATATACATAAGCCAACTGAGAGGGAAAAACCCCGGGACAACAGAGCATAAGGACTACGGATCATTAATCTTCTGTAACAGATTCTTGGTTATATCTCGTAATGAGTCGAACCTTTTATGAGCTTTAATTTGAAGTCTATCAGCGTTTTTACACGACGCTTAAGTCACTTGATGCAGCTTTACTTCAAGTTCGCACAATTGCTAACCGTACAGTTCCGTGTCTCCGCTTTCGTTGTTGTTTGTTGAGTATTTATTCCGTCGAACAGCTAGATAAGCACCAACACATATATGAAACAGAAGACCTAGATGGAAAGTGAGAAGAAGCACAAGCATTAAATATCTTCAGCTAGCCAAATCGAAGATCAAGTATAGACGCACAACACCCGATGGTAAACAGCAATAAACCTTATGGACGATAGATTCAATCTGTTCGGACGAAAATACTAACCCCAGAAGTTAAATACGCCGCATCAACATAAACAAGCAACAACAAATTGTCGTAACTTCGAAAGTCTTCGCGACGCTTACGCGTCCAACGGAAACCGAAATGAAGCAAACACAGAATTCAAAAAGTTTCCGAGAATCAGAGTAGTCATCCAGATAGAAGTATAACATATTCAACGTTTTCATATGCATATAGAACGGTGGCAAAAACCTACTTAGACACTGAACCGTACATTGTGTGATAACCTACGGAGATTGAAGCACCATAGTTATCATACGCCTGCGTCCTTTAAACGACACCGGAATACTCGAATACAATAACATAAAAATAAAATTGAATAATTGGCTGCCCATTAGCTTCCCACATACATTCTGTGCAGAAAAAGACGATGAATTGCATTCGTTGGAATTAAACAAGTTGACTTGGTGCTTTTCACCTACCAGCATAGTTTTCCGGGCCTCTTCCACATTTCGAATAATCTTGCTAAACTCGATAAACGAGGTTCGGATCACGCGTTCATCATCCGTTTCTGCGTAATCACACGCGTCTCCGGCTAACGAGCTGGTGTTCGTACTAGGCACACTGTTCGGTTCTCGTTCCGGCAGGTACGAGTCATCCAGATAATCCCGTTCCAAGTAGCAGCGAGAGAGGGACACCGCGAAATCGGTCAATGCCGCCTGAAGTTCTGTAAAACAAAAAAGACAGGAACTCACGTTATTTCAACCGAATGGGGTTGATTGAAGTGTTCAGTAGGTTACTACTCGGGATTTTCCGTGCATTTATTCAATCTTCCTATTGAATCACTGAATCATAGCGGATACGATTAGCTCAAAAACTGTGCAGTGACCAACTGTATGAGTGTACTGAGAGAGGGGAGATAAAAAAAGACTATTTTTGCTCAAAAGTTTGGATTCATGGGAGAAATTCCACTCCAATCGCCAGTTTATCAATTTTAGCATTACTGTGACAGTTTTAAAAGAATAGAGTTTTAAAGGAATCCGGGAGCTAACAGGAACGGGGTGCATGCGTATAAAACTTTGCCCAATAGTATGTTATTATTGGTCACGGTAGTGTTTTCGAAAAACCATAAAGGGAACTGTAAAGAAAAAATTTGCAAATTCTTTAAGCGCCTGATTTTCTGATTGTATTTGACGAAGAACTGTCCGGATTTCAACGAATAGTCGTCTACTGATGACAAAACGTTAGGTGTTTTAAGTATGCGTTACTGCTGTACTTCCAAAGAACTGGTGAACATTTGTCGCCAGAATCGATACTTTTAGTGTTATGTCTCACGGAATCAGCTCTTCAACGTCCATTTCCAACTCTCCGATAGCCAACCTCACAAAATCAGAAACCAACAACAGCGCGGAAGTTATGTGTATTGAAGTGTATACAAAGTGAAAACGTGCTCACTGTTTATACATGAACTATCCATGATTGTTCTAAAAAATGTGCATGAGCGCCAACATTGGAATGTTCCAAGGTAAAGGTGATCGATAAGATTGAGTGAATTCGGGACACACGTGACATTTCACGTTTCGCGAAATCTCTTGAATCTTCGGCCGATTGTGTTGGTTAATTTTGTTTTCTCAGAGAAATGGACCAATTTTCGGGAACATTTTTACCCTCCTGATAGTTAGAGCTTACGCATGGTTTATCACCCTAAACCACCTTTTATCAGCTGGGTTATGAGGCCACACCTATGGCACTGATATTTTAACATTTGGTGTACCCACCCAGTTCTGTCTACATACACGTAAGAGTGAGCAAGGCTAATACGTGAGAGGTATTAAGGTAATTTTGACTGAAGCACGCGTAAAAGGAAGCTGAACCGCGCAACGTTTAGTCACAGATGCAACAATGCGGGGTTGATGTTACTGGACAACGTCACATTTTGATTCATTATGTGGAATATATAACTATTTATCAGATTTTATTTTATTTTTTATTTTCACGCACATCTGAATCCAGACTGTGCCAAACAAATCATGGTACGAAAAACGGTCCATGAGTTGCAAATTATATATCAGATTGGTTCGAAGCGTTAAGTCAGCGAATGAAAAGATTAAACAAAATGTTGACATCTAGCAAAATTTGTCGGTAGTGATACAATGGCAAATTTATTTGTATTCATGAACTCCCCCATTTGAACAGTTGAGGATGCCCAGTCAGAACATTTCAGGGCCGATTCATTGTGTACGGTTTATTCTTCCACCGTACTACTGCTTTTCTTCCGTGACTGCTTCTCTATGTTTGATATCCAACATACCCGTAATGTCATGTCAGCAGACTATCCAGTATTATGTGCCTTGAAGAGGTTTACAGAAGACATCATTTCATGCTAGATTAGCATGACGACTACTGCTATCGAAATTCACCCGATAAGCATCTAAGGACAGGTGAAAGTTCACATCCAAGAGGATCATCAACACAGAACGGCCATGAATTTGTCACAATGATGGGACGTGAATGACTAAATGCAAAATCGAACGCCGAGATCAGGGTTAACATCGAGAAAGTCGATTGAATCTACGTGTTTCATGTTTCATGTTTCTACATGTTTCATATCGATGTGCGTGCTTGTAGTAAGAGCAACCCAACCAAGGAACCGTGGTTAATTTCAACCAAGGAATAATTCAACACCAGAGAGTGATCGTGTGAAGCTGGCCTGTGAGAGTGTGTGGGATTAGAAAATTACATAACACAAAATTAGAACATTTTTAATACTACACCATTGTATGATGAACGGCAGACGAAGTGAACCCAAAGGTTACGAGGAGCTATTGTTTGTTCGTGGAAAACGAAAACCTACGCCGAAAGACGTGCAGGGACAAGAAATATAAAACTCCTCAGTATGGGTGCAGTACTGAGTAGGAAGGCAGCAAATTAGTAGAAAAGGCGATCAAATGAGAGGTTGAAAATGAAGATGGGAAAACTGAAAGCAAATAAATCCAAAAGCATTACTTTGAAAGATGCAAACCGTGCATACAAACGGAACCGCTAAAATAATCGTACTGATTGGATTATTTTCATCTAACTTAAACACTGGAAGGCGCATCACCGAATACGACTTATGGCTACACAACACAAAGCTTTCATTGATTGTTGTCTGGATAAAAAATCGTATTCCCATAAAACCACTCCGTATAGCTACACAAATCGACAGACAGATAAAAACAGTTGACGAAACCAGTATTGACCCAGAGCGAAAAAGGGTACGGATGTCGCATGGCCGTAAACTAGATCGGAATACAGTAGATTAATGGACCAAAGGATGAACCAAATGTTGCACAAAAAGTATCCAAAATCTGCACCCGAGATACGGATCACTAAAATCAATAACTTCTTCGAATGAGATATCGAAAATCCGTCCATACTTCAATTCAGTTTCATTTAATCTGAGAAAATTGAAACTACGGAAAGCTTGTTTCGAGCAAGTCGTCCTGGTTATGCGGAAGCCTTGTTATGTAAGTCGAGCTAGTGTGCCCGATTGCGGTCATAGAATGATTGTTTTACAAATTGAAAGAAAGCCATAGTTAAGCACAACGGAACGCATTTGCAGTTGGCTGGTTGTTTTATATAAACCGTTGTGTCTCTACAGCTGTTGCTTGCCTGATGTGAATTCGCATTACTGTTCGTAGATCAATTTCCGGAGTTTTGTCCGCCAAATTCCTCCTGACAGGCGAGTTTTCTTTTTACCCCTTCACCGAAAAGGGAAAGTAGATTGCGATTAACACTAGTGATGGAATTCGTGATGAACGAGAAAGCGCGTCTGCAAATCGGGTTCGTCGTTATTGAGACTCATTAACAATGTGTATTTTGTTCATGGTACTGCCGGGATTGGAACGTACAGGTTGAAAGTAAAAACCCTCGATCCTAAGCTACACGGTAGACGGTCAACATCTTAATTGAGTTATTGAACTCCCAAAAAGTGGTACCCAAGCCCAAAATCACAAAAAAGGTACCCGATACCTGTACAATTCGCAAGGCAAAAAACTAAAATTTTAGCTTTTCTGTCAATAATACCTCAACACTCGAGGTGCTACCTGCAGCACAAGTGTTATTGCTTCTGTTTGTTAAAGACATTGTAAAGATAAATACCCTGGACCGATAGAGATATTCGGTTGTCCTTGGACGGTTGAATGGATAACACAGTTGTGCCGCCCGTTCTTATGTATGGTGCAGCGACTTGGCCGTTACGAGAGAACAATATCGACGGTGTTCGAGGACCTCTGGCTATAATACTGCATTGCAAGAGTTTCGTGAGGCAACCGGACGAGCATGGTCAAGGTTAGCATCGAGGATTTAAGTGGTCGTAGTCACGTGTTGAAGCAACTGGTTGATTTCTGTGGATCAGAATGACCCATGGGCACGTGTTACACATGTCAACAGATATATTGCCTCGGCATGTAATTTTCGCCGAGGCAGGTAACCAAAGTAAGGTGACCAAACTAAGACTTTGCGTGCGGGCACGAAAACCTCGATTAAAGGCGCTGGTTGTATACTTTTCCCAGTTGGGAACCGCGAAAACAATTTAATCGACGGTTATAGATACTGCTCATATGACTGAGTGTCGTGAACAGTGGGGCTCGAAGATCACAATTTCTTCTGGATTTATTTCGACTGTATTCTGTATCTTTACCCAGAATGAACTGCGCTATTCATCACAAAACATTCTCGATGCGCAACTTTGCTTAAATTTTAAATTATACACGTAGTGTGATTGGCAGATGAAGAGATGAATTCATAAGTCGCAGCAAGCTGAACCGTGATACTCAGAGTGTAGTACCATTGTACAAAGCCCTGCAGCATTACAAACGTACAACTCGGCGAAACACTTTATCTTGGAGGAGAACACCACAATGATCGGGGAGAGACAAGTGAAATTATTGTATTTGATAAAAAAATTGTAGAGGGAGAAGAAGTATCGAAAGAATGCAATTTAAACAACGCCCGTGTATTTTTACCGTTTAATCACTCGCTGCCAGTTCTTTTGGCATATTTGAATGCCCCAATAATTGGGATGCATCGGTACCATTTATCGATTGTGCATCCATAATAGCCCCAATTTTCATCTCGTGATGAAACGATACCTTCAAAAAGTAAAGAGTGTGGCCGACAATAGTCAGTGTCCTGCATGAATTCAGATTCGTAATAGTGTGAATGTACTTAAATAGATGACAGTAACTTGTTCAGTTGTTCGCCGAGCTTGGCAATTGTATTGCAAACATTTCATCACCAATCGAGGTGACATTCTCAATGCAGTAACTGCAGTTACAGCATTGAGAATGTCACCTCGATTGGTGATGAAACGTTTGCAATACAATTGCCAAGCTCGGCGAACAACTGAACACCAAGTTATACTACCCGAGCTACAAAGACAACAATCAACACCGTTGTTTACAAAACTGTCAGATGACAGTAAATCAACTGAATGGAGCTGCGGATAATTGATACGAATGTGGGGACCTCGAGATTATGGTGAACGGTGGTACTGAGTGACATGGTTGAGTGTAGCAAAGAAAGGCGTTCGTGCATCTACTCATTATCCTTGCAACCTTAGTCCATGGAATTCTCGATCTTCTCTTTGACTCTGATCTCAACATTCCATTATTTCTTCTGCTCTTTTATCCGAGTGGGCAGTCATGAGACAGCAACCAAAATGGTTACTGGTTGTAAAAACTGAACTGAACTGGTTCGATATGATACGAAAGTGGCTTCATATGCCAAATGATTCGGTTCACGACATAGTAAACAGAAAACTCTCTACCTGGATTGGGAAGTGTTGCAGTAACGAATGACGCAAACTTGTAACACCCAAGAACAGATTACAATGGCCTTGCAAAGTCTGGAGAACTGAATTTATATCGTGAAAAGAAAATCATAAGCGGTTGAAGTCGACGGCCAACTTCATGGATTGCAATGGAGCTCAGGGTGAACAGAAAGCTCGAGAATAGAAATGCGAAACGTCGAACGAACAAGAACGGTCACGACACTAGGTAGACTAGACATGAAAGCACAATTCATTGCGAGTTCGCGGAACCATCAAGTGCGCGCTAGCATCATGGTAAAGAACCTTGAAGTCATCAAGAATTTCGTATTCAATCGTACTGATCAACTTGTCGGGTGAAAAAGTGTGAAACGAATACTCACAATTCAAAACGAGATGTTTGACTCAAGTTAACTGAATCTAGCATTCCAAAAACAAGTTCATAACCAAAACAAGAGAATAAAATAACCGGTGGTGGAAAATATTCTAAGCATTTCGAACGGTTGTGGACGAGAATATTCTTCAACCAAACAACAAAACGGTATATATAAAAGTGATAATGAAGAAGTCAATTTGGCAACCAAGCTCGTTTTCGGTGCATCATCTACTAGCCAAATACAGCACCCTTTTATAGGTCACAAAATCACATAATCCAAAGAAACAGGAAAAACGTAGACAATATCTGTGTTCGTATGCGCATGTATGGATACTGTGGATAATACAATGAAGGGAGTTCAAATCATGTCACTTGTACTGTCGAGTGAACCAAATACATAAACGATTTGACACTCATTTGATAACCGGCTTTATGTCACTCTAACATCTACGGCTGTCTACGGTAAATTCAGAGCTTAGACTGACTCTTTTGTGTAATAATGTAGTAATTTCATAAACGACATTAACTCTCATAAAAAACCAAAAGGGATAACTTGGGCAGTGACTGTTTCGACTCGTCCATTCGGTTTTTCAAGGGTACCAGACACTTTTGATGGCCCTGGCTGTGGGTTTCACTCTTTAGGAGATCTTTAATTCCCCACTAGCTGAATGCATTTAAATGTGATGAAAGTGCTTGTGATGACCGACAAAGAGCACTGGACAGCTGATTCGTCCTGTTTAGAAATTGTCAGCAGTGCGTACTTTTTGTGTCCCTGTCAGGACTCGAACCGCAAGCCTTCGGGTCAGGACTTCAAACCCTTACCCCAGAGCTACACGGTCGACAGAGTGGGTTGACTCATGATTAGTTGAGATAATCGATAAAGAAATAATAACAGGTGGCGAAGATTCGCATTGAGAACGTTATATGTTAAGTACTTTTCAACAGTAACTTCTCGCTCTCACTACCTTGTGTTGATTCTCAACCGCAATGTGATACTGTGCCAATGTGGCTAATTGGTAGTCACAATGTCTACAATACTCTTCCAACAACTAGTACTGTTTATTCCCAAACAACTTACTAACTATCCTGTAAAGGGTTAATTAGCGTGCTGTTAGTGACTCACTGACGAGGTAAT